CGAACACCCTCCTCCACACCAGCACCCCCAGGGGCCGAGAGCAGCGGCGGCAGTGGCGGCAACGGCTGCGGCGGCGGCGACAGCGGCGACGGCTGCGGCAGCGACAGCGGCGGCGGCGGCGACGACAGCGGCGACGGCTGCGGCGGCGACGGCGACGGCGGCGGCAGCGGGGTCGGCGACTGCGACAGTGGGGGCGGAGGCACCGGGGAAGGGGGACGCGGCAAGGACGGACCGGGGGTACCACCAGAGTCAGCAGACTCCTCAACGGGGACAACCGACGGGAGGGGAGTGACGTGGGAGACACCAGACGGGGCAGGACGAGGCGGGAGAGGGGCAGGGGCTACCGGGGGAGAGGGAGCAAGGAAAAGGGGGGGGGCAACTGGGAGACCTCGGTGAGGGAAGCGGCGGTAGAAGGAGACGGACTCGTCAAAGGTGACGTCACGAGAGTGGAGGAAGCGGTGAGACGGCGGGTGGTAGAAAAGCCAGTCAGACGAGTCCAGGGGGAAACCGAGGAAGACACAGGGGACAGTGCGGGCAGTGAGCTTGTCCGTGCCAGAGGCACGAACGTGAGCAAGGCAGCCCCAGACGTGGAACGCAGACGCGTCACCGGGGGACCCGGTCCAAAGGAGGGTCGGCGAAACCTGCGGCCGCTGGTAGCGTGGCCACAGGTTAAGCTGGTGAGCCGCGTAGCGAACAGCGAACGGCCACAGAAAATGGGGGGCATCGGCATGGATCATGGAGGTACGGGCGACCTCCATGACCAAGCCGATGCGGCGCTCAGCAACCCCATTCTGCTGTGGCGAGTCCGGCAACGTGTACGACTGGGTGATGCCCTCCGCACGACAGAACTGTCCAAGCCGACCAGAGGCGAACTCGCCGCCACGGTCGGAGTGGAAACACAACACGGGGAGACCGCGGTGGAGACGCGCAGCCACAACCCACGGGAGAAGAACGTCGGGCACGTCGGCCTTCCGCTCCAGGGGAAACACCGTGGTGTAGCGCGTGTAGTCGTCGACGAGCACAAGGAAGTAGCGCTCACCGCGCGGTCCGGGGACGGGGGCAGGGCCCCAAACGTCCAAGTGCAGGGTCTGAAGGGGGGCAGTAGCAGGACGCAGCGAGGAGGAGTGAGGAGCACGGCGGAGCCGACCCTCGACGCAAGGCGTGCACGGTGGCGCAGTCGAGGGAGGAAGGGCAGGGAGCGACGCGGGGAGACCTAAGACAAGACCGTGCTGGGACATGTGACGCAGACGCGGGAGAGCAGGGTGACCTAAGCGGTGGTGCCAGAGAAGGGAGGGGTGAGTGAGGGACCGACACGAGCAAGCTGCAGCGACCTGGGAGGACGCACCAACCGGGGGGGAAGCGGTGTGTAGGGTAAACAGACCGGACACCGGGTCCCGGGGGAACGTCGCAAGGGGGGAACCTGAGACAGCCTCAGAACAGACAGCGAACCGCTCGTGCCCGGGGAACGTGGTGGTGACGCCGAGGTCCTGGAGACAGCCGACACCAACCAGGTTCCTGGAGAACGAGGGAACGTGGAGGCCAGTAAGGGAGCCCGAGGGAACTGCCGGACAGGGAAGGGACGTAGAACTGCGCGCGACGACCGGACCCGCAGAGGGGTCAGCGAGAGAGACAACAGCAGGTGCAGCAAGCGGCGTGAGCGTGGAGCGGTCGCGGAAGAAGCAGGCAGAAGCACCAGAGTCGAGAGTGAAGGACAGCGACGCAGTGGCGGAGGCCGGGGACGGAGCCGGTGCAGCGACTAGACTAGGCAACCTAGGCAGTCCTACGCCTGTCGCAGCAGGGGAAGCTAAGCTACACAAGGGTGAAACACCTAAACTAGAGTACACAGGGTAGTAAGATCCAGCAACACTAGAAGCGTCAGCATACAAAGCATGCAAAGCAGCACCTATCTGATCCATGTCTAACTCAAAGATCGGCACGCCCTGGCGGAGCAGGCTGTGCCAGTCAGGGAGGTCCGGGGCCGGGCCAAAGCGACGACGAAAAAGATCGTCAAGGCGGCGGAAACAGCGGGCGGTCGGGTGCGGGCGGCGGCACAGAGTGCCGCGGAGAGGCCCGGTCTGAAGCTGGTACTGGCAGGTCACAGCACTGGAGCCGCTGGTAGACGCCAAGCTGCGCGGGCCGCCACCACGGCCACCGCCTCCGGAGGTGCCGGGCCAACCAGGCGGGAGACGAGCCCACGGCTGCGGCGGGTGCTGCTGGGACGGCGGCTGCGGCTGGGGCTGGTCCTGCTGCTGCTGGGGCTGCTGCTCCTGCCCACCGGTGGTAGTCCCCTCAGGCAGACTACCGTCACCACCACCACGACCACTACCACCTGCGTCACCACCCCTACCTCCCTGGCGGCCACGGCCACCGCGACGCGAGCGCTGCTGCGGGTGGACAGCAGCAGCCGTCTCGGTAAGAGGGGTCGCCGTGGCGACCGCAGCCGAAACGTCAGTGAACGTGCACTGGGATGGGGCACAGCCGTGAAAGATAGAGACTGCCGGCGCACCGCTCGACTGAGCGATAGTGCGCTGGCGAGTCTCGATCTCAGTGAGGGTGTCGACAAAGGCGGTCAGGGTGAGGTCACCCGGGTGCTGGCTAAGAAAGTGGTCGCGAGCACTAGCGAGGCGGTCTGGCAGGCGCATAGCGATAAAATTGAGCGTCATGCAGAAAGGAGGGGGGAGCGCAGTGAGCTGGGCAGCAGTGCTGGCAGTGCGATAGCGAGTCTCTAGGGCACGCAAATGAGTGGCAAAATCTGCGACAGTAGGGAAGGCAGCCAGGTCTGGGAACAGCATCGGAAAGAGCAAGCGGCCAGCAGAAGCGGAGGCAGGGGTGGAATAGCGAGCAATAACGGCGTCTAAATAAGCTTTGGCCGTTTCAACAGTAGCAAAACGCGAGCTCTCAGACACAGGGAGGGCGTGACTAATAGCAACCTGAGCTACTGCATCGCGTGAGTCCCAGACCGCACAGGCCAGCGCAGCAGTAGAGAAAGCCTCACGGTCATCAGAGGAGGGGTCAGCAGGGAGGGGAGTAGGTGCAGGGGGACGGGGGAGCAAGCCATCAGCATGGACAACCAGAGAGTGGCCATCCTGGCGCTGACCTGTAAGCTGGCGGCGGAGATCGGAGAGCCAGGCGGCGAAGTCAACCGCATGGCCCTCAGCGTCCAGGCGGAGCACAAAGTCAGCCATCGTGCAGGGTCAGCGGCACAGCTCCTCAGCGACACAGCGGCACAGCAGCACAGCTCCTCAGCGGCACAGGAGCACAGCGGCGCGGGGACACGGCGGCAGCACTCTCCAGTAGGGCAGCAGCTAGGCGTCCCAGCGCAGGCGAGCAGAAGACACAGGGCCCGAGAGGACACGGCAGGCCGAGCAGGGGAGGCGGGCAGGTGCTCTGGGGCCGGGCTGGTGCTGGGAGGGGCCAGGCTGGTGCTGCTGGGGCCGGTCGGGCACGAGGAGGGGCCGGGCAGCGCTGAGGAGAGGCCGGGCGGCGCTAGGAAGGGGCCGGGCGGCACTAGGAGGAGGCCGGGCGGCACTAGGAGGAGGCCGAGCGGCACTAGGAGGAGGCCAGGCGGGCGAGCGCTAACAGCAGGCGCGACAGGGGCCAGCGGGCGCGACGAGGCCTAAGGGGCGCGACGGGGCCCAGCGGGCACGACGGGGCCCAGGGGGGGCGCGACGGGGCCGAGGAGGCGCGACGGGGACCAGCGGGCACGACGGGGCCCAGGGGGGCCGCGACGGGGCCTAACGGGCGCGACGGGGCCCAGGGGGGGCGCGACGGGGCCTAGCAGGCGCGACGGGGCCTAGGAAGCGCGAAGGGGCCCAGCGGGCGCGACGGGGCCTAGGAGGCGCGACAGGGCCCAGCGGGCGCGACGGTGCCCAGAGGGGGCGCGACGGGGCCTAGGAGGCGCGACGTGGCCCAGCGGGCACGACAGGGCCTAGGAGGGGCGCGACGGGGCCGAACGGGCGCGAGGGGGCCCAGAGTGGGGGGACGCGACGGGGCTTAGGAGGCGCGACGATGCCTAGGAGGCACGACGGGGCTCAGCGGGCTCGACGGGGCCCATGGGGGGCGCGACGGGGCCTAGGAGGCGCAACGGGGCCCAGCGGGGGCGCGTTAGGGCCTAGGGGTCGCGACGGGGCCCAGCGGGCGCGACGGGGCCCAGGGGGAGCGCGACGGGGCCTAGGAGGCGCGACGGAGCCCAGCGGGCACGACGGGGCCCAGGGGGGGCGCGACGGGGCCTAACGAGCGCGACGGGGCCCAGGGGGGGCGCGACGGGGCCTAGGGGGCGCGACGGGGCCTAGGAGGCGCGACGGGCGGAAGTGGTAGGCGGGGGGATCCTAACCTAAGCGTGATACCATGTTAACGTAGAAACGAATAATTACTAGAGGTGGAAACCTAGAACAAATACTAGTTGGTTGTACTCACTAGAAGCATACCTCAGTCTAGCCTATAACTTCTACATAGATAATATGTATAAGTTGACAGGTGTGTCAAACATAACTCGTTACTGTAGACTAAACAGGTTTGGGCCTTAGAGGGTACAACACACTAGTCTATATTGCCCTGTATCTTCCTACTCAAGTTATTCTCTTTCTAACAAAGAGATTGAGGGAGAGAAGGGTTGCACAGAAGTCTGGCAGGATCCAAGCCCATTCCCGAAAAGTCTAGGAGATGAGAAGGTTGGAGGTATGCAGGCATGTAAATCAGCTGCTGGCATGCAGTGAAGGAGGACAGTTGGGCATGAGACTAGGAAGATCCATGCGATATTGAGCGGAATGATGGTTTGAGAAGTGAAGACAGGTCAAACGGGGAAGGAGGGATGGTGGTGTAGAGGAGTGAGCCAGTTGCTAGGGAGGTAAAGACGTAGATAGGTCGGCAGGGAGGAAAGCGGGGAAGGAAAACGGACGGAGGGCAGGTGGGAAACGGGAAAGTGGAGGGATGGAGGGAGTGAACTGGAGGGATGGAGGGAGTGAGGGAGGTCAACACGGGTAACAAACACTGCTGACTCTTGGAAACAATTAAACGTTGCCACCGTACACGCAGCGTTTGAATAGTAGAGTGTGGGAGCAGCGCGAAGACCTTGCGCATATACATTGAAGGGCTGAAGTACTGCAATAGACCAAAATTCTACTGGCCAAGCACGGGCCAATTCGCTGAACAATCTGAAAACCATCTTCTACAAATCGCGCCCACCGTGTTGACTGCTTGCCTAGTGTCCATCGTCATCAGCAGAAGCGAACTCATCTGAACTGGGCGACGTCGTTCAGTCGTTGAGCGCTGATGGACTCAATTCTAGTCATCGTCTTCGTCATCTGTAACGAATACAGATACACTCATTAGCGATGGATAAAAAGAGCCAGACGCAACAGGTCGAATCGGCGCACTTACCAGATCTGCCATCTTCCACTGCTCCTGACCCAAACTGCCGGATAATAACTTTGGCGATAAGTATCCACCAGTAGACGTGAAGTACTAGCAGGAGAACGAGAATGAAGTTGAAGAAGTAGTAAATTCGTGGGCCGGTACCCACGTGGTCTCTCTTGTCCAGTAGCTGAACAACCTCGTAGCTGCCAGACAGGGGAAAAACGCATTAGCCTGAGGCCGAAAGCACAGCTGAGGCGTGTGGTGGATGGGTCCTTACCTCGAACTGTAGATGATGTATCGAGGATACCACCAAAGCCTCAACCACGCCCAAGATGCCGCAAATACAAGAAAGTTGATGGTCGCGCTTGCTTCAAATTCAATGTACTTGCTTAGCTTCGCAAGCTCGAGGAAGATATCGCTGGCATCATGGATCGCAACCATTAGGGAACAGATACGGCCGAACCTGACAATCACAGAAAGAGAAGTTAGTGAACAAAACTGCCAGGGTGTCCGTCTACGTATTTATCGCAAGCATTGATTTGCGACTCCACCAAAGGACGGGTTCCGAACGACCAGCTTGCGACAAGTCTAGCGGTTTCCGATGCTGATACCTGAAAATGTAGGCGGTGATGACAAGGATCACGCAAACTACATGATGAGTCATGCTCACGCCGAAGTCCTTTCGCCTCGTTTCCCAGAATATGAGCGCGAATACGCTGTACGTGTAGAACCCTCCGACGTAGCAAAACAGCGTTTTCAGCTTCAACCTGCACAATCGAGCACACATCAGCAACAAAGATACACTTGGGAGCCACGATACTGCGATTCAAACCCAGCCTTACTTCATCATCTGATCGGGCCACTTCTGATCCCCAGGGCCCACCCAGTAGTGCTTGGTGTCTTCCATCCACGGCTCGCCAACGGAGATGAGCACAGAAAATACCTCGGCGGAGATGTAGTACATGCATTTCCAGCATGATTCCTTGAACTTAATGTGGGTCTTTAGCAGTGCTTGTTTCTCCGACTTCTCAAGGGCTGTGGCTGCTCCATTGCTCTTAGTCCAGTCCCCTCTGCCAAGGATGTACCGTCGGCCCACTTTCTGCACCAGCGAAAGACTAAGTTAGAATTGTAACTGTTAAGTATGAGTAAAACTCACTGCCTCTTCCTGATGCCTACCTCAAAGACGAGTCTGTCCAGAATGAAACGGAGCGTCGGGAAGATGCACGCGAAAGCTAGAATCGACAGAAGCTCGTACGCCTTGGGATCACTTTCCACATCCCAGTTATCCCTGAAGTACTCGATCACTCCAGACATCCTTGAAGGATATAAACGGCCAGTATTACGAAGACTAGCTGTTCGGAACAAACAGCCAGAAAGTGAAGGGTTCCGAACTAGAACATGAGGACAGGAACCTCGTGATGGGAGGTATTGGGTTGATCAGGAGAGGTGAGATCGAGGAGAAGAGCAACCTGACAGGGAACTAACACTAAATCTGGAACCACCCTTCCTGGCCAATCATGCAAAGTTCGGGCTCTGCCACTTTCCAGCCAATGGAAGTGAACGAGGCAATAACTACACTTCATCTACGTTATAAGTTTTAGCGCTACTGTCCCACAAGTATCTTGCGACCAAATTTCCCTCTATATACACTCCAATGTAAGGTGTACAGCGGCCCTATCCATCCAGCTCGATGACAGTGGTGGGTGGTGCAATCCAGGCACGAACCAATTGGATGGAGCGATGCAATTGCTGGCGGCTCGATTCGGTGGTTTAGCGAACCTCCTCGGATTGCCGTCGAGTAGGCGCCGTCCATTGAGAAGTTATAACGCCACGTAGGTGTAATGGAAAGTGGCGACATTCACCACCCCTGCTGGAGTGGAGATTTTGACATCCACGAGGGCGGACTTCGACCTCCTAAATCGCTGAGGTGGCGGGTGATCATGCTACCTGTACAGTTGGCTGGCCTCCCTTCTTGTCACGCCATCTCATCCAGGGTAGCTGCATTCCTTCTTGTCAAAATCCCTATTTAGATGTGGGGTTTCAGAACCCTTTCAACTAGTCTCTGCACCCGTAACCGTTTCCAATCGCGTTCTCAACCCGTCGCAATGCCTCGCATCCATCGCCGGGCACATATTCTAATCGTCACCAAGCGCGCCATTTGCAAGCATGCAAATGTGAACTTGCACCTTCGCTTTGATGACCTCCTGCCGTGGTGCTTCACTCATTACGGTCTAATGCCCGACCGGAGCACTGCTGGAAATATTTGGAAGAACGAGGCAAAATGGGCGGCAGCGCCAACCTAGCAGAGGAACATTCGTGTTCGCCCGGGCAGTATCCTTCACTCGAGGCTGAGCTCAAGACGTGGATCAAGAATACCGGCCCTGCAGGTATTCCGCTAACGTTGGCGCTTATTCAAATCAAGGCCAAACAGCTCGCGCGAATTATTAGCCTTCCGGGCAATTTCAAATGTTCGTTGTCCTGGGTCCACAAAGCGGTGGATCGCATAAGCTTAAAAAATATGACACGCAAGGATGAAAAAGCAGATGCTGACATGGCTGCCGTCAACTGGGTTCGCGTAAAACTTTCCGAGCTGCTACTCCTGCTTGGCATGCATGTGAAGGACGCATTCAACCTTGACGAGACAACACTGTTCATCTCGTTCCAGCCGAGGAAAACGTAGGCCGACGATATGGTGGTCGGGTGCAAGGCTGGAAAGGACCGGGTTGCTGTCGTCTTCACCTGTAACACTGGTGGATCGTCGATGCTAAAGCCAATGATTGTCTCCAAGGTTCGCTGCCCTAGCGACTTCAACGAAACCAATTTCGACCCTGAGCCGTGTGTGCACTGGCGTTACAGCCAGAAGGGTCGGATGACCAGCGAGGTAAACACACCTTCAAATCGCCCATCCCGAACTTCCATTCCCTACGCAACCTCCTCTACATTTGTGTCTGCTATTAATTTGCACTCGTCATTTCCTCAAATAATCAATTTTCTTCCAGTTGCTGTTTATTTCAGATTTCCACTACAGTCTAAGTAACATGGCCCTTTTTTTAAATACAGTTATGTAGGTTTTCACGCCGTACATGGAATCCCTCAACACTGCCATGTTCGCTGAGGGAAGATCGATCGTCCTCCTCCTCGATAACGCGTCGAGCCATCGACTCGACACCGTCGGTGCTATCACCGAGGACATTCTCGGTTTTAGGACTCGGAAGCTTAGTAACCTGCGCATCGTCTACCTACCTCCCAACACGACATGCTTCATCCAACCGTTGGACCAGTGCATAATTGCCATGACTAAGGCCCGTTACCGCGTCGCGTATCTCGCGATGCGCACCCAACTGTGGGAGGCGAACGGCTGCCCAACGGAGCTTCAGCGCTTCAAGCCCAAGATGTCGCAGGTCATCCGCTGGATCCACGACGCGTGGTACAACATCGACCAGAACATGGTGGAGCGGTGTTGGTGGCACACTCGCATCCTCCCCGCGAGTTGGATGCCCGCCCCCCAGCCCGATGAATCGCCGGTGCGTGACCCCGCCGATACCGAACCGGAGTTGGAGGCGCTGGCGGTGATCATCCCACGCGTGTAGTTCGGGAGTGCGGCGATGCCAGCAGCGGACTTCCTGCACATCGACAAGAATCACCCCACATGCAACTTGGAGGGCGTGGACCCACTCGCCGCTGAGCCTCGCCGCACCGCCGCTGCCGGCCCCTGGGAGGCACCGTTCGACTTTGATAGGGGGGCGGGCATTGCGTCGTGTGGCCCGTCGAGCATCCGAGATGCTTTTCGGGTTTGCGCGTACGTCGGGCATCAGCCCGAACAATCTGCGCCACCTGTTCGACATCCGCAACCTCGTGGTTGTCGACAGGTTAGCGCGGGTGTCGGCCAATGCCCTGAACCTTAACCTCCCCCCCCCACCCCCCCACCCACGGTGAACGGCCGAGATGACCCCGAGACCGCTGCGGGCGGCGCATTCTGGATGGCCATGCTGACGACTCCGACTGCCTCAGCTACTAAGTCGGCAGCCGCGTGGCCATCCAGGTCAGCTACTGGCCCTATGCATGTTATCCCTCGCTCTTGCCACGCATATGCCTCGCGCTATGTCGTTGCGTTTTGGTTTATGTTTCCCGTGTTTGCTGCAATGTATTGTGTGGGACGTGAGGTTTTCCTGTGCTGAAGCAACTCTCTGTGGTGTGTTCTACGCGCGTGGGTTGTGTCCTGAGTCTGATTGGTGGTGCGCATGACCTTTGTTTCCCAGCTGCCACGCTTTGTTTGTTTTGGGAAGGTGAAGTTACTGCTAGGCTGGAGCATCTCGTATCAGTCGAGTGTTGGTTAAGTTTGTGTTCGACGTGGGAGGTTCTTGAGAGAAGTGAGGTTGGTGGGGTTTCATGTAGCGTGACACGTTTGCCAATGTTGTAATCAGTAACTTTATAAGGACCATTTCATTTCTAGATGGTGCGCATAACCCCCAAAACACGAACGCAGCGTACAAAAGATTGAGCCATGCTCGCGAAGTTCACTGGCATTCCGACGAGGTCTCATTGGCGAAAATCGTAACCGAGTCGTTTCCACATAGGCTACGCGAATCCCGCCCGTCATCATTTCCAACACACGTTTCATTACACGCTAATGTCGACTTTGCCGCTATGGTTCAGTTTCCGAGTTTGAGTCGCGGGCCGCGTGAAAAAACAGGAGGCTTCAAACGTAGAACGGGTGTACCCTTTTTTGCAAAATGTGCGTCTGGTTGAATCCACAGAAGCTCGCATAGTGTTTGTATGAGCAGAACATGTCCTAACTACAAAAAAGTGTTCCTGAATCTTATAGCAAGATATCTCCTAGGGCGTGGTACATCGGCTGTTCAAACGGCCGAATCCGAACAGCCACCGCACTAAAATGAACCATATCTTACAAAAACCAGCAGTACTGTGTTCAACCTTTCCGAAAAGTCCGTTCGAACGTCGTTTCCACTCCCGGTGTACCACGCCCTTATACTTTGTTTGGTGTGGTTGATCAAAGGTCGATATCGTGTCAAGGAGCGTGTTGGGTAGATGTTTCTTTTCCAGGTCGCTCCATCTCGAAATTTGTTGTGACTACAAGGCTACATGACCCATATGGCAATGCATTGTACCAGACCGTGCAGCTTGAGAATCGTTGATATGACGTAGTCCGACCTCATAATTAGCCACGACCTAATCCCGAGAGGCTCCTGCAACTGAGACACCTCATTTAGATTAAGTGGGATTCTCATTCAGAGAGCAAGAAACAAACGGTCGAGCAGGACCTACATAGGCTTCAGCTACTTTATGTGAACAATATTTACAACAGCTGGGCCTAGCAGATCTGTGAGTGAGATCGGTCGAGGCCAAGTCTATGACTCAGCATTGACACGCTATGATTCATCATGCCATGCATGCATACAACACTCCTGTACAAGCTGAAAACAAGTCCGCCTTCATGTCTGCTAAAGAAACCTGCCCATGTGCCATGCATGCCTTTCTCGCACGCCTATTTACTCCCCATCTGCCGCATCGACGTGTTAACCCATCCCCCAGCTGGCTGTCCTGCCCCGGTCCCATCTCTTATACTTTGGTACTCGTTGCAATATACACCACTTTACCCCATGCCTCCCCTTTCGCTTTGCCCGTTGCACTAGTCCTTATGGAACTCCTTACCCGCCTGGGTGATTCGCCATCTATGGGTGGGGACAGGTGCACGGAGTGAGAGGGATACACAACAGGCGAGGGATGTAGTCGAGGTGAAAACGTCTTCTCTCCCCTCCTCATGCTTCTTCCAGCCATGCTGATTCGCCTTTATTCAGTGGGGACAGGTTGGGGCGAGAACGGCAGGAGGGGGGGGAGAGGGGGCTAGACCATGGAATGCATTAAATGAGGGAGATCAAGTGGCCAGTCACCGACTGCCATTGACAAGTCCAATCTTCCTGCCTCTGTCCCACACTCACCTCCAGCAACTGTGCCAACCTGCCCTCCTCTCCTCATCCACCCCCGCCCCCCCTACCTATCCCCTCCTCAAGGCTGCCCAGTCTCCCCACAGCAACCTCCGTTCCACAGACGCCGACCTATCCTGTACCCTCATGCCACATCCCGCCCTCCCCCCCTTCCCCTCCCTATCCCTTGTCCCACACACTCACCTTAAACTGCTCGGCCAGCCCATCCCTCTCATCTGTCTGAAATTCGTTGCTCTCACATGTGGTAGGAAACCCATGAGTCGAAATGGCTCACCTAGTTATCCAAGGTGAGCTCCAGGTGCGCCAGCCACTGCTCCACTGCCTGCACCTGCTCCTCCACTCGCCTGCCCACCGCCTTCAGCTCCTCCTGCACCTCCTTCAGCTGGTAGCGGTGCCCAGCACGAGAGACAGAGGGAAGCAGAAAGAATGAGACGAGGTGAGTACGTCGTTCAAAGCCCGCAGTCCGGATTGTCCTAGGAGGGTT